TCCCCTCGAGAGCGGAGGCATCATGGCGGCGCGGCGCCGCCCCGCGTGAACCTCCGAAAGCGTTACGCTTATTGGACATGCGGGCGTTAAAAGTTTATCGCGGCCGAGGCAGTTACGCCCGTCCGGCCCCACTCCGCCCGGGCGGAGCGCTCGTAAAGCTGGCGGCCGGGCTCGGCGTTCTGGTCGACGCCCTTCGAACTCCTGCCGGTCGAAAGACCGACGGTCCTTTTCGAAATAAGCGCGGGAAAACCGGCGAGAACCCTAACCTCCGAAAATCCGAGGAAATCCCGCGAAATTTTCGGGACTTCAAGTTGATATAAGTACTTCACTATAACCGCCGCAACTTGAAACGCACTTTATTTCAATTCGAATGTTTATGGAGGTTATTTGGAATTTTCGAAATTACCGTGGAATAACTGGCGAGAACCCTAACCTCCGAAAATCCGAGGAAATCGTGGCAAATTTTCAGGACTTCAAGTTGATATAAGTACTTCACGTTGACCGCCGCATCTTGAAACGCACTTTATTTCATCTCGAATGTTTATAGAAGTTATTTGAAATTTTCGAAATTACTGTGGGATAACTGGCGAGAACCCTAACCTCCGAAAATCCGAGGAAATCCCGGGAAATTTTCGGAACCTCAAGTTGATATAAGTACTCCACGTTGACCGCCGCATCTTGAAACGCACTTTATTTCATCTCAAATGTTTACGAAGGTTATTTGGAATTTTTTCCTGTTCCGGGATCGTTTTTTCCCTCCCAGGGACGAAGATCGTCGCTCGATTCATCGCGCGGCCGTTATACCGTCTCTGTCTTATGCATTCGCCCTCCGAATTTGCATCGAAAAATCCACCGCAATTCTCTCTCGAATTTACTCGCCCATTATTGAGAGTTGGCAGAGCGGACGTGGTTGGAATATTGTTATTACTCGACTGTCATTAAGGCGAATCGAGCCCGCGATGTGTGACAACTGTCAGCTGTAAAGTGTCGTTTTATGGGACGTTCAGGGTACCTCATAAGTGGTTTCGCCGCAGTTTTCGGGAACGTTTCGCCGGTATATTCCAGGCGCATCTCTCGAGGCGCATCCTTGTGAAATATTGGCCAAAAAATCTCGAGGCTTACTTTTCGATACGAAGAAAAAAGAATAAAATATACCTACGTCCTACAAGTCGGGTGATATTATTTTTAATCGTTCCTTCCCCTGTCCTTCTTTAGACCCCCTGTCCGTCGCGGTGACGTTCTCACCTTTCAGAAATTTTCCACGGAACACCTTCAAGGTCGACTTGGTCGCCAAGTGGAATAACTAATATTATTATGTCAGCAGGTTGTAACTGTTACTGCACGGGTAATTACTGGTCAAGCACACATGCGCTATGAGAAATGGTCCAAGCGGCGCAAGACAACTGCCTCGCTTGCACCGTTAAAGTGTCCGCAACAAAATTTAATGCAACTGCGCTGAAAGTTATATAGTATATTATATCACACTTTTTGAGTCCCCGCGCACAGTCGGGTGAACATCGAGTTTCGGTCCAGGTAACGTGGAAACGAAAAAATCCACCTGCGGATAATAATAAATGTCCCGGCCAGCCGTGGGAAAGTATCTAATTCGACGTTTAAATTTACAATCGATACGGCTAAATTAACTCGACGGGAGGTTTTCTCCTTATCAGCCCGACGTTAACTGGATTTACATGCGTACAAATTCCCGGCATCGAGATCGCTTATTTTCCGGCGCGATCGGGCCGCAAGTAATGCATTTATACGGGTACCTATAGGTACACCTTTCATTGCCCAGGCCGGGGGTAATTACTCCCGCGAAACAACGCATCAATCTCGCTTAATCTCCGATTGTTGATAACTGCCGTCGATTAAACCCGCGGTACACGACCTAGACAACCATTCGGCCTCTCCGTGTGCGGAGAAAGATGCAATCTGAGCGCAGGCGCTTAAGCCGCATTGTAAATTAAGCCCGACTCTAACGCCACCGTTTGTGCGCGTGCAAGGTGCGCCTTGTACTTTCGCGTAAGGGGGAATTACACCTCGTCGGGAATGATAGATCTTTTGGGGCTTTAATGAAAAAGAAAGTGCCACCGACAGGGCCGTGCGGCCTCCACCGGGGCGAATGCAGCTGCACCTGCAGCGGGCTGAGCCTCCGCGCGAGGCAACGCGCGGATGCGGTAGCTCCCGGCTAAATAATTTATTAAGCAACTAAAACGTCATAGGGGAGGAAGGGGTCCTGGGTCCAAGATGGCGGGAAAATCGGCCCGATGGATCGCCTCGTTACGATGCACTCCCGAGGGTAATTAAGCGGTAAGTACTTCGGAAGTCGAGGGGTCTCCCAAGTCGACGCCATGAGTGCAATTAAAGTGTCAACTATTCCATGGACGGCTCGCTTTGTGGGAGCCCGCCCTGTCAGGGGCACCATGCTTTCACGTGGGGATAAACAGATGTAGGAAGTGCAGCTACGAGTACTTGTAGCTGCATTACCGCGCTACTGTGTCGCTGCGACCCGGGAATTTCCACGAGGATACCTGTAGGTTTAATGGGGGAGCCCACGTTGCAGGTAACGGGGAGAAACGCGTGTCGTGTCGATTGGAGCAAGGACAGGAACAACGTGGCGCGGAGGTTCTGGAAAATCCATCGGGATTTATATTTTCCTCGGATGCCTGGAATCATTCAAAATACCCGGTATCCGTATTCTGCATGCCTAGACTGAAACAAGTGATTAAACCGATGAGGAACACCGAGGTAAACGGTTCGCTTTTATGGGCCCCGATACCATCGAGAACGTTGTGCCGAACATTGCGGCGAACGTGTAATCAGATCTGGGAAATTCTAGGGTTCTCGTAATGCCCCATTGCGGGGAATAACTACTCGCTCCTCGACTCGAGGAATATCCTTTTTTGACGGAGGAGTCGAGAGTCCATGCTAACTCGGGAATGCCGAAATTGATGTTCCGGAAATTCTCCGGGAATTCGAGCGGTGTTCCGAATTAATTCCGGGCAAGGATCGAACGTGCCGAACATTGCGCTGAACGTGTGATCAGATCTTGGAAATTCTAGGGTTCTCGTAATCTCCCATTGCGGGGAATAACTACTCGCTCCTCAACTAGAAGAATATCCTTTTTTGACGGAGGAGTCGAGAGTCCATGCTGACTCAGGAATGCCGAAATTAATGGCGTAGGGATGTTCAGTAAATTATCTGGGAATTCGAACGGTGTTCCGGATAAATTCCGGGCAAGGATCGCTGCGAGTGCGGGAAATATAATTTAGTGAGGGGTTTTAAATTGTTCACGGGGTCCTTGTGGAATCTGGTACCGTCCAAGATGGCGGCGCAAGGTACCCGCCCGGTCGAGGAGTCCGTAGAAGGCATTGACACGACAATAACCTGCGAATTTTATCCCGGGGCATTGACGTAAGGGCAAACGGTCACGAGGAATGCCAGTGACGTTACTTAGAGCACTGCATTACGGCGTTGGGCAAGTAACTCTCGTTGAGGGATACTCTTTAACGAGGGAGTCGAATGCACGCGAACGCGGCCGACGTCGGGCTCCGCGGGTAAAGACTGTAGTTTTCGAAATTACTGGAGTCATGCACGCCGATGAGGACGAATGTGCGTATCATTACTCAGGACTTGAGATGCGAATTTATGGAGCCGCAACTCATAAAGTCATGCCGAGCCTTGCAGCTCGATCCACGGCCAGCCGAGTAAACAAGGGGGAGGGCCCGAAAATTGATTAAATTAAAATTCACCATTCCTCGGAAATGCCTCGTTAAGAAGTCAGGGAAAAAAAGGAACGGCCGTGGAGGTATCTCCTATTGAAAATTAAATCGTCTTGCGGCTTAAGCGAGGTCCGCACGCGGTACATCCGAGGCGCCTCTAGAGGACGCATGCACGTGCACTCTTGGAGTTCTCACGGTCATGGCGAAATGAGAATTCCTAACGCTCGGCTTAAACGACCTCGAGAGGTGCCTCTTCGGCCTTTCGAGACTCCGCGGATGGAGTTCAGGGGAACGAGCCGCGAATCACACGTTGTACGCGTACATTTTTATCCTCCTTTGTTTCTCCCACCGTCGGTCAAAATGGCCGCTATTACGACTCCCCTTAGTTTCCCCCTACGCTTTCTTCGCATTTTCGAGCGAGCTCGGTCGTTGATACCCGTCTCCAAAAATACCTCCGCTCGTCTTCGAGGCGGACGAATTTTGAAACCGTGTCCTCTTTATCTCTTTAATGTCTTCATCGGTGGAAGCGAGAGATTCTCGAAAATTCCCGGCGGCCGGAACCAAGATGGCCGCCATACGGCGCGAGTCGGCCGCTTTCCTAGCGTCTTCTCGTCTTGGTTTTTCACCTTATCAGGTTCGCGTGCCCAGGCGTCTGGTGTTAATTATTTTTGCAGGCTCGTTATGCACGCACTCGATGACACGCGATAAGCGGACCGCGATGATTAGCGTGCAAGCGAGGCTGACTAACGACTTTCTCGCACGCGTCGTCGCCTGACGTCAGCCATATTGGGCCAGCGGTCTTACGACGAGCAAGCTTATCCACCGATCGCCGAGTAATCTCCGACGAGCTTGTCTCATCCACCAGTATTTACCTCCACTAACGACGAGGTTGGAGAAGAACGGCCCGTTGTGCACCGCGTGCAACTAAAAATGGCGGCCGAGCCAAGGGGCAGAAAAACCGCGCCTCCGCTTTCGTTACGTAACGCGTCAACGAGTAAAAGTTAACGCGGTCTCTCCCTGGGACTCCTTGAAAAGTTTGAAAAGTTCCCCCATTGAGTGACGTTTCATCTTCGTTGTTTATTTAGCCTTTCCGACACCGGGGGATCGTTTAGCGTGCGGTGTAACGGGACCGCAAGCGGTACCGATCGAGGCCGCGGATGCGGCAATGGTGCACTAGGTCAGGGATAGCGAAAAGACGCTACAGCGTCCACACCGTCAGCGAACTACGCGTTTAACCTTCACAAATTCTATCCACTTTCCGTAGAAACGATTACTTACCATTTTCCGCTGCGACAGCGATTGGCATTCGGCGACACGAGAGCACTCCCGCACTTCTGTCAAATAAATGTCCGACCCGAGGGATCGATACGGGGGGAACGATGCGAAATTGAAACCGTCCACGTCCCCGGACGTCCGGATTTACTAATTCTCAGCGAGATGGCGGAGGTTCGAGGGCGAATCCGCGACCGCGACGACCGCTCGCGCTCGCCTCCGGGAGCACTTTGTCGCTTTCGACGTCCTATCATTCGGAGGCTTCGAGTTCCCCCGATTACGAGCTATCTTTATTCCCGGAGCTCCGTTTCATCGTTCGGCAATTGGATCGAACGGTATCGCTCGCGATACGACGAGATACCGCGGTCGCGACATCGGTGCACTAGGTCAGGGACGACGCCTCGTCGGCACGTAAGGAACACTTCTTCCTAGATTCTCAAAGCCGACGATCTCCCTCGGAAGGAAAAATTCCCCAAACCCAGGATAAACCAAAAAACCAGCAGATTTACCCAACCCCGATGCAAGAACATCCCTCACTCAGAGCGTCGCGTCGCCATCGGCGCGATCCCGGCACTCCCGCACAGCAAACGCTATGACCAAAGCCCCATAAAGAAGAGACATTCCTCCGGGAAAAAAATCTCGAAACAGAGGAAGTTCCTCCACCCTCTTAAAACCACGGGATCTAACCCCGGATCTCCCTTACACGATCCGGGAGTGACAGCCGGGAGCGGCCTCGTCCGCTGCGCACTAGGTCAGGGATAGAGGGAGAGGTCGCCGGGGATCCTTGTCCCAATCCCCATGGCCGACGCGGCGTCCCCAGGGGTGCCGCGGCGCGCGAAGCCCCCTCGCCCCGACACTGACTCGCACCCGGAGAAAAATCGACGCCCCCCTCGCTTACTCACCGTTCCTCGCGGCCCTCGACCTCCGGACACTCCCGCACTCGCGGCGGAAACCGCGCATTGGCGCGCCGGCACGCACGGAAGGAAGAGGGAAGATCGCCGGCGAGGGCTCCGCCTGATGCAGTTCGGAGCCCCCGGGGTGTCGGATGCATCGTCCCCGCCGGCGGCGGAGAACGGCGTCGCTCTCGGCCGGGGCCGGGGGCGCGACCATGTGCTCCGCGAGGCTCGCGAGCGTCACTGCGCCTGCGTCCGTAAGTCTGACCCCTACGTCACTCTTCCGTCGTTCCCCCTCGTGCTGCGCGGCTACACGCGAGATGGATACGCCATAAAACCCCGTAGAGTCAACTGTTACAACCCCCGCGCCGGCCGCGTGGGTGGAGGAGCGGCGGCGGCGGCGGTGGGCGTCGGTGGGCGTCGGTGTGCCGACGCGCGGGGATGTGCGTGCGTCGGTATGTGCCCGGAGATTGCAACACCGGTGAGCTTCGTCGCCTTTCCGCCGCCCCCCGGCAAGCGCCCTCTCTCGCTCTCGCTCTTTCTCTTCCTCTTCGCGGCGCCCCCGCCCCGCCCCCGCTCTTTCTCCGTTTCTCTTTCTCACCGCGGCCGGCGGAGGTGCGGGACGTCGCCGAGTCATCTGCGCAGACCGCTCTGCGTGGACGGCTGGGGAGGTCGCCGGGACGAGCGCCCGGACGCACGTCGCCTGGTCCAGGACCACCGGATCTTGGACAAGGAGGCCCGGAAGAAAGGACCTAACCTGCACCAAGGTGCGGGACCCTGGCCGAGGGTCTCTCGAGATTCTCCTCCCCTGACCAGGAAACCATCCTTTCCCCTACTCTCAGGGGTGCCAGTAGTTACCCTTCAGACCTTGATTAATCGTAAGGGTGGACTTTGGAGACACCGCTACTTGCGAGTCCGAGATTAAAGGAATTTCTAATTTAAAGGAATTAAAGGGATGAGCGGGATTGAATCGCGAAATTTTTCGGTGACCAAGATTTTCATCGTCGGTGAGTTTAACGTCGGGGGTTATTTATGGGTGTAGGGTGCTTTCGCGGGGGTTCTGGACCCTGGAGAAGGTATTACGTACTTAGTCCGCGGAGTTGAATAACCCGGCATGGTGGAGGTGCGGAACGTCGGCGAGTCGTCTGCAGAAGGCGAAGAGAGTAGATGGAAGGATGGAGTTTCGGAGTTGATGGGTCGTCGGGACGCCCGGATGCGCCCGGGCGGATGCGAGCGCGTCCGAGGGACTCTTTGTTGTCCCTGCTGGAAAAGGGTGCGGCCGCTGCCAGGAAAAATTAAATATAGTCGCCTTATGAAGTGCTTTTGAAGTTTATGAAACGCCACCTCGAGATCGTAAGGAGACTTCCGGTTATTTTTAGCCCCGGGGATATGGACTCCGGGGCGATGCGCTGGAAAACAATTTATAATAACCATCAACGTCGGCCTAGCCGCCCCTTGTACAAGTTAGAATACAGGAAACCGTGTCGTCTTAAGCCCTGATTTGTAGCTACAAATGGCTGATCCGTAAGTTGCCTTAGATCGGGTATATTAATTATCTGGACCGGGGTTAAAAATACCCCTTGATTATTATTCACGTGGAATTTAAATCCCGATGGCTTACCTCTTCGGAATGAATAATCCGATCTCGGGGGATAACTTCAGCACGAGCGATACAATGTATACCAAGTATGAATGTTCGGTAGCATGACTTGCCCGAGACCGCGAAACGTCCACCTTCAAGGTCCACTCGTGTCCTTCGAGGATCTTATGTCGGGCATGATTTGTGCGGAATAACCGCCTCGGCATGACAAGAGGCTCCCAAGACACCGTGTCGAATGCCTGCCGACATAACCTATCCCGTACCTCAGACTACATACCCACTGAGCTCCCTTCAAAGTCGGCAGCACGACGCGTAGTGGCCTAACCAGTTCCCGAACCTCTAGGAAAGGTCGCATAACGGCGTCCATTTGACGTTTCCACAACCTTGACCAAAATTCAACCCATCCCCGACCCATGAGATCAGCAGAAGACGCTGCGACCAATTCCACCAGGTCCCACCGCCCTAGTAAAACGTATCGCGGAAGTTATTTGACGTTTCCATAACTAAACCCAGAATTTAATCTACCCCATCGCCAGGCCATCCACGAGGTCTGCAGAAGACATCGTTGTGGGGGATTCCGCTTGGTCCCTTCCGAAGAGGACGCGTCATGGCGGCCATCGAGGTCCCACGGACTCAAAACGCCCAAGACAAAGAGTCCCGGAGGAAAGGGAAGAGTTCGAAGGGGCTCCGCCAGGATTCCTGGAAGCCTTTCCTCGATTCATATTCATATTATCGCGCGCCTAACCGCGCGGCGAGATCCACCAACAAGTGGAAGCGGACGGCGAGAGAATGCCGTATCGCGGTCCGCGGCAGTTTGCATAAGATATGCGCGCGATAAGAGCATAAATTCTTCGTGGCCGGCATAAACGTTACAAAGTCATGCCGACGAGCCCTCGAAGAAGGGACGCCCCGCGTCGCGGACCTCTAGCTCTTCGGGTCCGCCTTGCGGAACGCAAAGCGGCCGGTCCGGCCATGGCGCTCGCGGCACGCAACGCCGCGGCCCAAATTGAGCTCTCCGCAATTACCTGGACAGGTGGCGTGGGCGGAACGGGAACAAACGGAGCTTACGTCACGGTTGCCCTCGGCGAACAAATGCATCCAGGAGGCGAGCCTAACGCGAGAGAAAAGCAGCGGAACGTTTGGGTGCCCGCGAAAAAACCCGCCCGGTGGCGGAAATAATTCATCGCTGCGAGCCGCCATCTTAGGAAATTAGGGTGGATGTTGCGTCAGCCACGCGTTCGGTGTTTTTTTGCGATTTTCGCGACAAACTCAATGCACGGGGGTCTTTGCAAGTCATTCACCGAATGGCTCGTCATTGGACATGGTTTTTAGGAATCTCGTGCGGCTTCATGACTGGAGAAGAAATTGGAGAAATTGCGCAACGGTCGACTGAATGACGGAAGCTGCGCGAGACGAGGATCGCTGAGTGGGTTCTGCCATGAACGACGGACATTCTCGAGAAGCGGTCCAAAGAAGAGTCCTGGAGCTCGAACGTTCTCCAAGGGTGAAGAAGAGGCCAAGTCCGGCCCAGCTCTGATGATGCCAGGCCGAACTGCAATTACCTGGACAGGTGGCGTAGGCGTAACGGGAACAAAGAGACGTTGCGTCACTTCTGCACCCAGCCTCGAGATGATTTCTCGGGCTGCAAGAAAGAACCCTTGCGAAAGCCGGTCTGGTTTTTCGGAGACCTTTCGAAGCCTTGGCACCTCCGTCTTGAATTTCTCCTCGATACCTACTTCCGCAATTACAAAGAATAGAGGGTTTCCTACCCAGCCACATTAATTCCTGTTATGTACCGACGTGGTCCAGCACCAAACGACCGGTCAAAGAGGAGGTCGAGTCGGTCTTGACAAAAGGTACATTCTTGCCACTTTCTCTAATGTCCATTTTCACTATTCTCAAGGATGGCGACTTTACTATCCGGAACGTCCACGTTAATCCATGCGATGAACCGACGTGGTCCAGCACCAAACTACCAGTCGTAGAGGAGGCCAAATCGAGCCTTGACAAAACGTACATTCTTGACCGCTTCTCTAACCTCCACTTCCGCCATTCTTGACGATGGCGGCTTTACTATCCAGAACGTCCACGTTAATCCACGTGATGAACCGACGTGGTCCAGCACCAAACGACCAGCCGAAGAGGAGGCCAAATCGAGCTGGGTCCAATTACCGGGACAGGTGGCGTGGGCGTAACGAGAACAAAGAGACATTACGTCGGTCTTGCAGCCAGCCTCTGGACGACGTTTCGAGCCAGGGGCGACGAGAACCGAGAGCCGGTTGCGAAAGGACCGAACGTTCCGGTTTTTCGGCTGCGCTGATCCGTGCCGCAGCAAAACCGGGCACGGAACCGCGCCACTGGTCTGCCAAAGAAAATCGGAGAAAAATCGAGCGACTCGTGGAACCCACCAATCGAGGAATTATTCGGGGAAATAGAAACGGTCGCGATCGAATAATTGCACCTAATTGCCGGGGGGAAATCGTTAATCGCCCGACTCGCGTTCAATCCGCGAGTCCGGCCTGGCGGAGACACGGTATCCGCTCGGAGTAACCGGCTGATTTTATCGTTGCTCTTGACGCGGGGAAATG